ATGCCCCCCGGATGATTGTAATAAGCTAGCACCAAGTCCCTTCCCCGTCCACTTTTACTCTTTTCTTCAAAATAAGGCTTTCAAATAAAGCATGGTTGTACGGCAGTGAAGCATCGGTGTTGAACACTGATGTCATCGATGCGATGATGATGATATAAATGGCAGACATAAGTGAGAGCGCGCACAGTTATGGGTGTGATGGGCCATCGTTGGCAGTTAAAACACTGCGCAATACGAACGAGAAATAACTGAGTTAGGTGACTTCGAGTACAGTTGTGAGTATAACGGGCTGTCAGATGAGGCGATCACGCATAGTCTCTTCTTCTCTTGTGAGTATAACGGGCTGTCAGATGAGGCGATCACGCATAGTCGATGTCTTCTTCTCAGCGGTCGGCATACGTATTGTACTGATGTTTACTGTAGGTAGCGAAGATAGGTGGCTTCGCGTACATTTAGGGGTATGAAAGACCGTCATTGGCCATCGGATTATGTTACTGTGCATAGGTGCAGTCTCATTATCAACGTCGCACGTAGATGCGGCCTAGCAGTTACAAGTACTCGAGATGAGTGAAAACGAGTAGAGATACGAGTACAAGTGGCCGTCGTTGCTCATTGGATTGAGCTGCTGCGCGTAGGTGGGGCCCCATAATCAGCGTCGCACATTGACACGGACCCATCAGTTACGATAAGTAGTCCATGTGAGTGGCAACGGCTAGCGTCATCATGACGAACGCTCTATGGTGGTCACCACCTATAGAACGCAATAGTCGTAATAGGCATGATGCCCGGAGCTATCTCGTGACGCTGTATTATCTACAAGCTAGTGATGCATCTTTGGGGAGGGGATCATCCACAAATGGCCCTCGCACTGCCGCTGCACAGTTCGTGCTGTTGTCCAATATTATCGCACTTAATCGAATACGAGATCCATGGGGAACATGTGTTGTGAACAGGTTCGCCGAACAAAACCATCCCATTTGTTAAATCTGAGGAGTGTGAAGCAAACAAACGTCTACGACTAGTCTTCTAGGGTGGAATTTGGATTAAATACTCTTGAAATGCTTTTTATCCTTCAGGAACAACGAAAAACGCGAAAAATGCAAAAACGCGATTTCGTGTTTTGCGTCGCGTAAACGGCACAAAATGCTGGTGGCGGTGGTCCATGGCCTTGAAATTCCGCCCACTTAAACAAAATGCTACTGCAACATGTCACTGGAAGGTGCAAACTGATTCGACTAACTTAAACTCAAAATTTCGAAAACCCTATAGCTTCAGGGAAATCAATTTGGGTGTGCAAATAGCCGGCGGCCTGTATTATACACAGGCTAGTCATGCACATCGGGGAAAAAGGATGGACACAACAACGCCGCCGCACAATTCATGCAGTCTTCTAACACTTTTATACCTGGTGGAAGGCGAGCTGTGTAGGAAAGCACGTTTTGGCGAGGTTCGTTGGGTAACCTGGTCTCATTTGACAAATCTTAGGGGTATTAAGTGAGTAAACGTCACTGACCGATTTTCTGGATGGAATTTGCATGAGATATTCTGCAGGTGATATCTTATTCTTAAAGAACACGGAAGAACATCAAAATATGCTAAGGTGTGATTTTCTGACTTATTTCCCGCGAACGGTGCCTATTATCCGCACAACGCAGAACCTTTAAAAATGGGGCAAACTTTTTACGCCAAAATGTTGTCCTTTGTTGCGTATGTGCTCAAACCGAAAACCGTCCCAATTTTCGTTCATATTTTTGCAGCTCACCAAATTTCTCTGGTCACTGAGGCAACCACGCCTCTGGCTGAAAAGTCCTGTGGCATAATTTTCCAGCATCGCTGAGACCCCGCGATGGCTAAACGGGGCTCAAAAGTTTGGACTAGTACTCTCAACTAAATTGCCCGATTGCTTTAATCCATAAGAGATACGTCATAACTTTCGAAATTTCAATTCCATTGTGCGAATACTGAGCGCCCTCTAAAGCCAGCAACAAAATACGAATCGGTGATACTCCGTGACTTTGAAATTTTGCTTACCTGAACAACTTGCTATGAGCAACTTATTACCAAGGTGCAAACGGATTAGGCTAACTCCCAATAGAAGTCACAGCTTCGAAAATCCTATAATTTTGGCGAAGACGAATTGTGTGTGCTTCTGGTGGGTTGCCTGAAACCACAGCACTGCCACTTTAAAACTGAAATGCGCGCAAAATGTTAGGGAGAGAGAGGATTGAGAATTAGCGAAACAAATTCAAGGAAAAACGGTGACAGGCTCCCAGTGATTTTGGCGTGAGCACACACAAAGCAAACCCAACATCTTGATGTAAGTATTTGTGTTTGACAAATTAGGATTTCTGAAGAACGAGTATCTTCGGCTGGGAAGTAGCCCATTGCATGCTACCTGGGATCCTTATTCCAGGAACGCTGTATTGCGAACAGCATCGAGGAATAAATGCACTCTCGAAAAGCCTTTATATTTCAGATTTAGAACCCGCAACGACCAATAAATCTAGGTCCTACGTGATTGATCAAAATACTGGCCCGCTGCGTTTTGGAGCATCAACGACAGCTTCTAATTTCAGAAAAAACTTGTTCGCAAAGGTGGGTTTGCTGCTGCGGCCGCGAAGGAATTTGAAGGACGTTTGTGCATCAGTGCTTACCGGGCTCTCCTTCAGTAGACTAGATTGCTGCTCAGGTTCAACACGGCGCCAACCGCAATTGAAGAACTCATGAATTCCGTAATGCATGCCGCCGATACGCGAAAGAAAATATCCATATTACTAGTCCGACTGGCATTTTCGACCATACCAAATAAGGAATTTACACAAAGAAAGGTATCCCTCTTCGTTTTGGGGTAATAAAGTACGGCACTATTCATCGTTCCTACAAGATTTTACAGCAATATAGCGGACGTTTATGCACGGATTCTGTAGGATGGTGGGCTTTTCAACTACTAGAGATGCTGCAGAACGCGGTCTGGGTTCATTCTTCTACTCACCACATTGGGAGCAGCCTCAAAGTCAATTGCCCGGGTAACTGATTACACATGGAGTCCACTGAAAATTTCAGCGCTCATTTGGCGTAATGGCAACCTGATAAATTCACATCAAAAAGCGTAAGTCGTTTCCGTTAGAAGACAACGGTGTCTTCATGAAACCGGGAAACTAACTTCTGCTCCGTGCCACCTTCAGTTTTTATTCTGGTGAAGTGTATGTGTGACAATTCATATCCCTGAGTACCCCCAAACCTCGAAGCGAATTGTCTCCTGAAATACCTGAATGCACCCTCTCTCAAATGCCGCTGGCTATTCGTACAACGAGATTGATTTCTCAAAATCTACGGCATTTCCAGACTTGCCACTTCATAGCGTAGAAGGTCTATGTATAACGTATTTGCTCCTGTATTATTGAAAATCATTTACTACGGCGATTTGTTTAAGTGAGCGAATTCTCAAGGTCAAAAGACACCACCGACTGTGAATACGAAAGCCACTTCCGAAGCCATAGCACACGAAGTTCAAAGCCGAATGTGCGTCCATAATATTCAAAAGAGATCGATTAAAACAAATCGCAAAAAAATGAAGGCAGATGAGGGGGACTTTTAGACTGAGCATATGTGCAAAAAAGTGCAAAGTTTTGACAGTAAAGTTTTTATTTCACCCGCAGAGGTTTGGCAGAAAAATGCGCTGTGCGTCGAGGCGTCAATCTCTCAAATATAAGGCACGGTACAGCTTTGAAAAACCCCACATTGCCTCCATGACGATACCTAATGTTCAAGTACGACGGATTAGGTTTCTTACCCTGTCTTTTCAATATGGTGAAACGCAGTAAATTGCGTTAACCACTGCTCAGTGGTTAAGACGCAAACCTACTGACCGAACACAACTGCGGCGTCTGCTCCTGTCTAGGCTTGGGTAACCTGGCCGTCTATCAGCCGTCCAGACCATCGGTTGGCCTGACAACTAGACACTGAAAGGGTTTTTCTTACAGATGACCAGTTAATTTTATTGTTATTAATAATACCGTTATTAGTACCGAAAGCATTCGTTATCCAGTCCGTTAATTGCGACTGTACACTGCTTTCCATTCCGCAACCCTACATATCTTAGTCGTAGCTTACGCATAACTGAAATTCCCATCAAACTAATGCATGAACTTCCTGCCGACAAAACAAGGCCCTGTGTGACATAGAGACCTAACTTCCGTCGATTGTCTTTTGAATTTCTATTAACAAGATTCCAAGTGGAACCAACAGAATACCCTTTTTACCTGAGGTGAAGTGAACAGGAACACAAAGTTCAAGATATATATCACTACGAAACGATCCAGTGCACCTTCTAACTGGATATCCTTTCCTTACCACCCATATTTTCTTCAGGTGGGCAATTGGAAGGTCTAGTGGCCTAGTCTATGGGAACCCATTCATTCGATGGAGGTATCCCGAGCCCTCATTCTTCGAATAGTTGACGCCAACAGTGCATACGGTTGCACGATATACCCAGAAGTTATCGAAGCCAGAGAGGATTAAAGTTCCAAAATGAGTGTACGTTGCTTGAAGTAACGAGGGCTGCTGACCACACATGAAGCGGATTTTCGTTCGCCTAAAACTCTTTGCTAATTTCTTACAACCACTAACTTAATCAGCACTCTAATGTGTTTGGTCGTTGCATCACCAGTGACCATCCGCATGGACGAAGATGACTAATGAGCACGTGGAAATAATGCAAACCAATTCCTGTCTTCATTAAATGTACTGGGTCGAGCAGCGGTCAAGAACCAATCAGGCAAGTGGTGTGAACACTGGCCGGATCAATCATTCACACGATTTTGAATGGCGCATAACCGCATGCCACTATAAAATAGTAAATGAATGAAATAAAGATCGTGTGCAATAGGGGAGCTGCTCGTACTCAGAAGGTCTGTAAAGTAGCCAGGATAGACAGTATACTCACTACTACCGCATACTGGGGCATTGTCATTAACATTCAGTAATTGGCAATCGATAATCCAATAAAATTGATCTTTTGATGATAAACGATGTTTTAGGGGTAATTAGTCAAGATAAGCGCCACTTTTTGGTGGACCCCGAATGCCGTCTTCCATTTGTAAAAGGAATACTACAGGATGAAGTAAGTCGCTTACAAGTAGGTTAAAAGACCACAGGTAACGTAGAATTTCTGTTAAAACATTGTGAAAACGCCCGCTCCCCGTTTAACCTTTACGTGTTTCACCAAATTACCAAAGTTTAGGTCCTATCTACAAAGAAGGGGTAAATGATTTTGGAAACCTACCTCATTTTAAAACGGAGCACACCTATCATTCAGAAGTGACCAACGGTCACAACCCATCTACGTGCAGTTGCACATTAATATCTAGGCTATCAGGCAATGCTTCACTGAAGAGTAATTCTCGAACAGTTACTCGGTCAGAAGCGAGCGGGGAAATCCGCATAGCAGAACTGAGGCTGGCTGCATTTGGACGCCGCACAGGTCATCATCATCATCATCATCAACAGCATTGCATCAGTGTTCAAGACCGAGGCTTCACTGCCGTACAACCATGACTTATTTGAAAGCCTCACTGTGAAGAAAAGAGTACAGGTGGACCTGAAACGGGCTTAGTGCTAGCTTAACACAGTAACTCCGAGGTGCCTACACCTCCAGACATTCACTCAGGCAATCCGGATAGAAAATGACAACAAGAACGCCACTGACATCGGTTGTCAGCCATATCTTGTAGTGTCTCCAACCATGCTCAGTGAGGATCATGCGGTCCCCATCCCGGAAGGCGAGTAGCACCGACAGCACCCAAGCGTTTCGTGATATCCCTCATACTCCGCTGCCAAGTCAAGGGTTGGCCACCTCTCTGTTTACGCCACTC